AAAAAATTATTGAAAAAACTCTTTCCACAGCTTAAAATACTACGGGATACTACGGTTGAAAAAATTCCTTTTGTGTTCGTAGGAATTACACGAGTTGTTCTCTTGTTTCGCAAGATTTCGGATAATCATTTTTGATTTATACTTCACACGAAATGGTTGCTCAAAGTTCAGCTAATTTTCTTATTTTTCGCTGAGATGCAAGACAGCGTGGAAGAGGTTTCGGTGCTCTTGCACAAACTCTTGGGAGAACTGCAATTCCCTTTATTAAAAATTATATAGTCCCAGCTGCAAAAAGAATCGGAGCAGATTTATTTGAAATTGCTGCTCCAGAGATTGGAGAAGTTGTCAGTGGACGAAAAAACTCAAAACATTTGCAAAAGATGTTGGAACGAAAACAGTTCAAGAACAGTTGAGAGGTGGAAAAAAGAAATCCAAGCGTAGAACATGAAGAGCCATTTCTCGAAAAGTAGTTCAAAAATCATTCGCTCTTGCAAAGACATTTTTGACAAGATAAAATGAGTGTGAATCAAAGTAGTCATTTTTGGTACGGAGCTTTTACAAATGCTTCTTTGGAGATTTTTGATAAAGTCACAGTTTTAGAAACAATAATTTCATCATACATACAAGAAGTATTTCCCAGTACTTCTCTAAATGAAAGCAGTATTGAGTTTGAATTTGAGACGGACCGTAATCTTTATTTGGATATGCGTGATACCCACCTCAGTTTAAAGCTTCAATTATTCAAAGGAAAATTGCTTGAAGCTTTTAAAAAAGAAAAAGCAGAACATAAAGCAAAATCGGAGGAAGATTCAGATGAGGAACCACAAACCTACTTAACTTATGTAAGCAATCTACTACATTCTCTATTCTCCAATTGTGAAGTTTATTTTAATAATAAAATGCTTTACAACGCCAATGGATTATATCCTCATAAAGCACAAATATCGAACAAATTCAACTCGTCAGCAGTGAGTAAAAAAGGAATACTTGCTTGTCACGGGTATAGTTTTGAAGAATATCCGGAAGCATTTGATATGTATCCTTTCATTGATAGAGCAAATGCTTTAAGATCAGGGATAACTTTTTCACTTTATAGCAGGCTAGCCATTGAATTGTTTACTTGTGAAAAATTATTACTACCAAAAACCAAAGTTCGAATTAAACTAATTCGAGCTGGACCCAATTTTTACATGCTGTCTGATAATCTAAGTGTTAGTCTGAAAATTGTTGATTGTTCACAGTTTACAAGAAGAATTTTAGTGGCTGAACCTAATCATCAATATTTGCAATGGAATCTGGAAAGGGAACCTGCTCATTACAATTAAATGGAAACTATAGCAAGAACCTTTATCATTCCATCTCGTCAAAACCAGTTTATACAGGAAAATGTTTTCAATAATGCCCCAATCAGAAGGATAGCTGTTGCAATGTTTAAAAATTCGGCTGTTGCGGGATCTTTTCATGAAAACCCTTTCAATTATCATTAACTTCATTTGAGAGATCTTAGAATTATTCGGGGCGGCAGAGCAACTATTTCATTAGATACAACTTCTCCTTGTCGAACTTGTGTTACAACAATGAAAGCAATGCAGTTTAACGAAGATTTTCCAGCACTTCCTATGGAAGATTTTCAAAATCACTATATTCTAGTTTTCGACTTGACTTCACTACAGGATGCCACTGAACACTTGCATTATCCAGAACTTAGTGTAGAAAGCTTGAGATTAGAAATGTTTTTCCAATTTCCCTTGGAGCAAGTAACGGAAGTGATAGTCTTGGGAGAAAGTCTATCAAACATTCATATTGACAAACTCGGAACAGTCGCTAAAAATATGTAATTTTTTTGAGTTTTCAGGTTCCTATAAAAATAGGGTAACTTTTTGGGACTTTTTTTTGTTATTATCTCTGTATTAACTATATTGTTTTTCTGCAGAGCTAAAGCTCCAGAAAAAATAGAGAAGGAATGTTGTTTAGTTGAAAACTCGAGACACTTCTTTAACCTAGACTGAAAAACAGTGTTCAATAAACTTTGCCCAATAGATAAAGCTTGTGTATGGGACTTTGTTGATTCAATTCCTAAATGGGTTTAAGACACTATTCTTTTTTCTTTTTTATCCTAAAGTACACTATCAAACTATCAATTTCTTTTTTAGCTTTAAATCAGCCTACAATTGCAAAGATGGATAATTTTTCTCTTTTGCAAATTATTGAAAGAATTCCAGAGCTCAGGTTCAAGTACATGGGATCATACCCTTCTGACACAGTACCTCAACTAACAAAATACTCTTTTGCAATTATTAACTCAGCCCCAAGCAATGATAGAGGAGAACACTGGATTATGATTGCTCGACTGGATAAAAGCTACTACTGTGCAGATTCTTTGGGAAGAAAGAGATCAACTTACCCTTTCTTATCAAAAAAATTCCGACGAATGGCTCCTCGAAAGCTACAAAAGATTGATAATTTGTTTGGATTTTACGCAAATTATTCAGCATTTCTTCTTTTTAAATTCTTCCAGAAGAATTTGAATAGTGTTCATGATGTGCATGTTTTGAATTTTATCAGTAACTTTATGTAAAAGTAAATTTTTTATTTGTAAGTGTAAAATTTTGTATGTGTTTGAATGTAGTGAATGTTTGATTTTTTATGTAATTTAACTTTTTAAATTCCTTAATTTTTTTTAGGAAAAGCATTTTCGCAACTAACCTTTTGATGAAATACGGAGAATGATGATGGAATATGAATGTTGTAGTCCCCCAAATGAAGGAATTAACAATAGAGTAGATAAATTTACGAAAATTGTAACCAACTTCTAGTAAATTGAATAATTTTCTTAAAAGTTTACTTTGAGAAAGATGGAAAAATTATTATACAAAAACATCAGACCCCCCAAAAAATGATATACTATGTTTTTCTCAATGTAAAATTTTACCGTGGCAGAGCAATTGATAAATTGGGATGATAATTTTTTGGAAAATTTGGAAATTCCAAAGAATTTTTTAAGGATTAAAGACAAAGTGATGAAAGAGAACTGAAATGAATCGTAGCAAGAAATATGACAGAATAAGTAAACCAGTTGAGGTAAAAAAAAAGTGAGATAATTATGTGAAAAAAGATAAAATAACTCACAAAATCTATAAGTGTAAGATTAATAATTGTGAAAAAGATTAAGTGGGATATAAAATAATCAACCGTGAGGAGCTCTCAAGATTCTCCTGATATCGCGTGGAGCGAAATAACTAACCTGTCAAAGATAGTCCTCTCTTGACAATTTTCCCCAGATAACCTGAGGGAAAATAAATATCATGAAATAAGAATTTGAAAGATGCTTTCGAGAAAAAAAATTTTCTGTGATATTTTAGCTTATGATCCCATACTCCAAATCGAAACTTAATTTTGTCGAAACTTACCATCTGAAACTTACCATTCAAAAAAAAGTGTTTTTTCAAGATAAAAATGTATTTGCAAAGAAAACTTAAAAAAATTTTAAAAAATTTTCTGAAACTTACCCTCTGAAACTTACCATACCGAATTACTGTAACACAAGACAGCCCTTACATATCACAAACCGTAGAAGTTGACTAAGAAACGCAAGTATTGGCAAAATCGAGCTCAAAAAATCTCGGGTACCAAAATTTTTTGGAAAGTTACCATCTTATCATCTGAAACTTTACCGTCTTACCATCTGAAACCTACCATCGTAATACAATAGGAATCCCTTCCCTAATGAGTTCCTAATTACCTACAGTGAATTTCTTATACATAGGGAAATCTATACATGGGAAATTCGGGCGCCGAAAAAATTTTACCATCTGAAACTTACCTTCTGAAACCTCGTATCTTAATACATTGGGAAACCTATTCCCTATCTTAATACATTGGGAAATCTATAGCCTATGTTAATACATAGGGTTAAGACCGGATACTCTATATCCTATGTTAATACATGGGCGTTTAACATCGACTTCCCCGAATGGGAGGGACTTAATGACGAGAGGCTTGACGGAAGAAGTGGCTTCAAACCATAACTGGGTAGCGTCTGCGTTAAGCCACCTGTTCAAAATGGACTGAACATTGTTTTTTTTCGTATCGCAGATGCTTAGACCCGCCGCGGGGAGGAGAACGCAAAACACACTGCTGAGGATAAACATCTCGATCCAGTTGTCGGTAACCGAAGGATTGTTCTTCAATTTTGCGTAAGTCGAAGAGACTACTCTGGCCCACAGGTTGCGACACCTGACAGGAACGTGCTTTCTAGTTGGGATCGAAAACTTCTCTATGTCTGTGACCGGAGCCATCGCACTTCAATTCCTGATGCTTGTGGGACTTGACCAACCCCGAAGCACAAACTCCTACCTGCAACAGACAGACGGGGCACCCCATGCGGGGTTCAATAGCAGAATGAGAAGCCCAGTTTAAATCAAAAGAAGGAGAAGCACTGTTAAAATCAACATTAGAAACATCATTAGAAACAACATTAGAAAGATTAGCATTGACAGAATTGGAGTTTGAAGGCAAACTGTAGCTTGGCGCTGAGTCTAAATTGAGAGCGTCTATGTGCGGGATGGCTGCTTGAACGTCTATCGTGAGGTCCCCCATGCCTTAAGTAAAGCTGCTATGAGACTGAACTGGAGCTCGCTCCACCAGCAAATCCGTTGGTAGCTGATTGTTCCGCCATAACACGCGCTTATCGTCTTGCACGCGAACGTGTCGAAGGGAAGACCATTATTGGTTGCAAAGCTTCCACTCGACCAGGATCTGCGGGTCGTTTGTGTCCAGTACCCGGGTCGCTGTTAATCCCGTAAACCAGGTGGAATTTTGCTCCACGGGTTGTTTGTGCCAGACATCTAGAGACACCAAAACTGACTCAAAATACCGTGGACTTGGATGGGAGTGTCGACCAATGTTTATCACAATGTTTGGAGAGTGGAAACTTAACCAATCAGTAAATTTGTCAATTAGTTTTCACCAACCATGCCTCGCGGGCTCATCACTGAATTTATTTAATAAGTTTATCACTAAAATTAGGCTAAACGAAAATTAAAAAACATATTTTAAAAACTTGTTATTCGCAACCCTGTAATTGGGAGCTCTCAGAGTACTCTCAAGCATTAAGAATCTTGTCTCCAAATGTGACGGCTCAAATCTTTGTAGTTTTCGAGATATGACGTTTTTTGTAATTTTTCAGAAAACTTGGACGAAATCTTTTATTGAAAAACAACGTTGATCAATGTTGAATTAGGATTACTTTCGAGCTATCGCTCATCATCAGCATCTTCAAACAAAAAAAATATTGAGCTTGAAAAAAGTAACAAATTCAGTCAAATTAAGAGAAGAAAAAAAAACAAAAAAAAAACACAAAAATCTATTCTGAGGCGGAAAGTATCCACACATACAGAACCAGTTACATCATAGCTTGACGGTGAGGTGGAGCCTGCGATACTCTTCCTTGGTATTCAGAGAAGATTTGAGTTTTTCAATATAGAGAGCTTCCAGGGTCTCCAGCTTTATGATGATGATGCTTTATCCTGATGATGCACAAAATGTGCGAAAACGTTGAATTAAGATTTTAAATTTCTTGTATCTCCAGCTTTACCTTGTCACTACTTCGGTCAAGGATGGACGCTTCGTAAGCCTGCATCCCGCAACAATCCTGAAAATGTCTGGCAACTGGAGCGGAAGACATCAAATGCTCAGAAAGTTGTGTTTTGAAGTGTCCAGCCGTCTGGCCGACATAGCGGGCTTGACAACCCGAACACTCAACTTGACAAACAACACGACTCTTCTCAAAGTTTCAAATTCTCAACCTTGTAGGTGGGTGAGGGCTATCAGAGTACTCACAGGGGTTGCCAACCTTGCCTCCAATTATGACTGCTCAAATCCTTGTAGTTTCCGAGATATGACGTTTTTGGTGTTTTTTTTTCAAATAAACTTGAAGTAAATTTTTTTCAAAATTTCAATAAACCTGAATTATTATTTTTCTTCAAAAATTGATTTTCTCTACCCTGTAGTTGGGTGCAGTCAGGGTAATCTGAGGGATTGCGAATATTCTTGCCTCCAAATATGACTACTCGAATATTTGCAGTTTTCGATTTAGGATGTTTTTGGGATTTGACAGAAAATTGGAGTTAGAAAAAAGTTTATAAAATTTGAAATTACCACAACCCTGTAATTGGGTGCCGTCAGAGCGCACTAAAAACCTGCAGATCTGCTTCCAATGTATGTGGTTTTTTTCATGAAATGTCAAAAATTCGAAGCACCGGAGGTTCGTTGCACGCTAGTACATACTAAGTCGTAAGCGTTGGTTAACAGAAAATTTGAAAAAATTTGACGCCTTTCTCCTTTATATAAACTACCGATATTTTAGAATAGTGATGATACATTTTGCAACTGTAGTCAGTCGTCCAATTCGACTGTTTTATTCCAGAAGTTATGTCTATTCCTCCTATGAACCCAGACGACAAAGGCACTTGGCAACAAAACTACGCAAGATCTCACCAACTGCTATGGGTCTTATGCCACCATCTTTTTTCTTCGGCGCAAGAAGACTGGCTCCGCATAAGTAGGGAGCAATGGAGGTAGGAGTCTCACCACGAGCAAGAAGATTGACAACGTCGAGAACGGCAGAGATGGCCTGATCGCCGTAAGCGGATCAAGGGCAAAGAAAAGCATTAGACAAGTGTGTGGCATAAAATTTGGAGATACCTGCTGCAGAGTCTTTTGGAAAACTCTTAACACAATTGATCAGTGTTTCTCGGGAAATGCTGTACGGGATAGGATCTAGAGGAGACTCGGGAGACAGCACGGCAGTGACTGCAAGAGGATGTTTTTCTTGCAGGACCGATAAAGCCGCGTCATCAAAGCACAAACTCTTGAAAAATGTCTGTCAAAAAACTTTTGAGCTTCCTCGAGTTACTTTACAAGAAAAAGGAAAAAAATTCCATTTGATTTTCTTATTGATGAAATAGATGTTGACTCTTACTTTTTTCATAATTTTTTGGACGTTTTTTTGTACAAAATAGATTAATCCAACTAAGTACAGGTCTCTTCAGAGAAACTTACACAATCAAAGAGTTTACTTTTGATCCACATATTGCGTATCAAAGTTTCGGCTGAATTAAACCTCACAAGGAAAAAAATTTTCTCGAAATCTTGAATTTAATCACAAAATCGTACGATAATATATCAAAGACTTTTTTTATTCCCTATCCAATACCCAAATTTGTAAAAAACTTCCCAGCAAAGTTCTTTATCTCTTCATTTCTTTAAAGATTTTCAAAGTTCAAAATCTTGCTTGATTCGGTTTGGAATAAGATTTGCAGAGATTTGCTTTGAAAAATTCATCAACTTTGAGTTATTCTCCCAAATTTACATAAAAATTAAAGAACTTGATTATCTACTCAAAAATCAGCTATTTTCCATTGATTACATACAAAAAATTCAACTAATTTGATGAAAAAAATTGCAGAGATGTTGCTTTTATTAATTTTCTTTCTTTTTGTTACTTATATTTCTTAGTTTTACATCAAACAACTTTTGTTCCTTTAATTTTGCCATTGCGTTTGTGTATATTCTTACTTTTTTGGAAGGTATAAGTTCTTAAAAGCGTCTTCTGATTGGATAAGACAACTAGAACAAAAATGAACATTTTTGTGATTGGAAACGACAATACCCAAAATGGAACTTTGTTTCCGATTGGACACGACTTTTATCAAAGAACGCCATAAAAAGAAGCTGAAATCTGATTGGACACGACTACAACCCAAATAACGAAAATCAATTCTGATTGGTCAAACCCACACATTCGAGTTGAAGGTACCCCTAACTCTTAACCAAAAATCATTTTATTTTCAACTTAACTACCGTCAACTACCTCCTCTCTCAGCTCTAAATACCTTAATTTCAACTTACTTCCGTCAGCTATCCCTCTCTCAGCTTTTTCTTGTTTTTACTATTTTTTACTAATTTATTGCTCAAAATAATCTTCTCAGTGCATAACAGCAATTTAATGTACTCTGTAGATTTTTCGCCTGATCTAGTACAAATTCAAGTGCGAGAAACAGTCTCTGGAGTTTTTCTGGCACGAAAGGATATCCCAATCCAAGTTTGGCACATGGTGGAAGTGATGCGAAGGTATTTCAACGAACAGCATATGATGCAAGTTCCCATCACAGAGAACCAACTTGGAACAATGCAAATGATGGAGGAAGTTTCTGATCATGTGGGAATGAACTACCCCGAGATTCCTGACTCAAGATTTGTAGCTCAACCAGTCGAGGTTTTCCTCTTTCCGTGGGAGGCAGCAGGATCAGCCGAAAACCCCATCACTATAGATGAAGATGAGGGTTTCTCAGAAACAATGACGCCTCAAAACACTCCTCCACAACAACCACCAGCAATGGAACCTCGTCTAGCTCTGCGTTCTATAGAAAACCTTGAGAACTCTTCTGCTGGTCGACAGCTCTTTGATTAAATGTTTTTGTAAATAAATGTTGTTTGGTATTTTTTTTATTTTCTTGTAATTAATTAATTTCTTCAATTTCGTTTTAATCATGAGAATAGATGAGAGGTTCAGGGTAAACCATTGAAAAACAAGTAAAACCTAATTTAGTGCTCCGAACTCGCACATATGTTAAAAAACTCGAATAATTTTAGCACAAAAACTCGGAAAAACACTAGAAAAATTGAAAAATTGTACACAAGTTAAAAATTACCTACTGGTTTTTGCATCTTGTCAAAAAAACTCAACTACTTTTCGCACTTTGTAGAAAAAATTGAAACACTTTTCGCATTTTGTCGAAAAAATGAAACACTTTTCGCATTTGTAGGAAAAAAGTGAAACAGTTCTCGCATCATGTTAAAAAAAGTTGAAACATTTTTCGCATTTTGTCGAAAAAAGAGAAACGATTTTCGCATCTTGTCAAAACAAAATGAAACTCTTTTCACATTTCATCGAAAAAAGTAAAACATTTTTTGCTTTTTATCGAAAAAAGTAAAACACTTTTTGCATTTTGTCGAAAAAAGTGAAACACTTTTCATATTTGTAGGAAAAAAATAAAACACTTCTCGCATCTTGTTAAAAAAAGTGAAACACTTTTTGCGCCTTGTCAAACAAATTGAAACACTTTTCGCATTTTGTCAAAAAAAATTGATACACTTTTCGCATTTTGTCAAAAAAATTGAAACATTTCTTACAATTTTCTTAAAAAATTGAAACGTTTTTAGCAACTTCATGAAAATCAAAAGAAATATTACATCTTTCTTGCATGTTTGAAAAAATTTTTGCAGAATTTTTGACAACGGTGAGTTTTTTTGTCAGTTTTTTGGCATTTTCGTAAACATATGAGAGAAAATAGATGGATTATCAAAAGATTTTTATTGAAAAATTCACATGATCACTATTTACAAATCGATAACCATCAATAAAACAGTCAACTATTTTTAACAAATCATGTTCATATTTTGAGTTTGGTACTTTACGAACTCTTTCTAGAAAAGCTGAACCAATAGTTTGTGTGGAAGCTAGTTTCTGGTTAGAACATAAATAGTGACGTTTGAATTTTTTGCGTAATCGTCTTTTCTTTGGAACACTTGGCATTTTTTCTGCTCCTTTCCATTTCAAGTTGTGATGAACAGCGGGGTCAAGTTGATTGAAAACTTCGCCAGTTGATGAAATAACATTCAAATAAAATCTGTATTTGTACAGAGTGTAAAGGCAATCGATAATTTGGTATGTGAAATGAAAATTACCCAATCGTTGTAAAGTTTTATCGAAAGATGAACCAGTCAGAAGTATGTGGAACTTACAATTTTCCAAAGAACAGTAAGATTTGTGGGTAGAGACACAAAAATAATTGGTTACTATATATTTTTCGTACAAATCACTGGAAACGGAAATAAATAGCGATTTTTGACAATAATCTGAATAAAAGCTGGGAAAAGCTTGACACATAGCTGCAGCCATCTGGAACAATGATTTTTGCTGAGAATTGTGGATTTATATAGGAGCACTAACACC